CACCTAACTCTCATACAAGTTTCCGAAACCTTCAAAACACCGCTGCTCAGAATAAGAATTGCTTTCGTCCACTCGCGACAGAATCTCAAATGCATGACCGTCATTTTCGATGTGAATGAGAGTATTCGTCTTCATTCAAGTAAGAATTGAGTATCATAGTGGTCAAGTGCGTCCAAGATGAATTTGGGGCTGCTATTCTCAGACTCTTTTTCATGCTAGATGAACGAACTCCTTGAAAATAATATAATCGAGAACCGTTGGATACCAAATGAATGAGTGATCTCGCTGGTGCATCGGGTATATTGAGGCACCGGGGGATGGTCATAATGTTGGTTAATTGTGGTGCCGCAACCAGAGTCTCAAACCAGATGTTCCCTCAACGAACTCGCTTTAAAACGGATGATTCATAACGTGGCAAGGCATTTGGGCATCATGATCGATATCTTTTTGGATGCTTATGTGTTTGTCGAAGCTGTGAGGGGTTTTCGAGCATCAGCGGGAAGGTTGCAGGACGCATATTCTCGTCGGTGCATGATGACCGTCCGAAATTTGAGAAGCTCCAGGGAATAGCGACTCACTCGCACACAGATCAGACTGTAGCTCAAATGCACTTGAACTTCACACATCCAACATCTCATGCCTGTCGTCGACGAGCCTTGAATCGACCAAGTCCCCTCCATTTCTTCCATAAGACAGCACGCTCATCGCGCTGCGCTGAGTCGTCACTTCCTACGAGTATTTGAGTGCGCTTCACTCAGGCATGCCGACTTGAGCTTCGCGATGCACGTTGACGTGTCGCGTCCCATTAGAGAGACATCAGCGAGGCCGGTCTTGGGTTCTTGTGATGTTGATGCTCACTTGATGGCGCATTTATCATGGATGGTCAATTGTCGATCTTTTCCCAGCCAGCCGGCAGGATGTTGGCTGTCCGAAGCTCCCACTGATGTGGGAGTTCTTATGTGAGGTCCATGATCAAAAGCTCCCACTACTGTGGGAGGTTTTGAGATTTTTCGATTGAGCCTGCTTAAGTGGGAGTTTTTAAGAAGAGCCCGTGCCGTGACTAGGAGCTTTTGGAAGGTCCTCAAAGACGATGATTGACTTATTCCATCCCGAATTGACTGATTCCGCGCAAGGTGGTGCTCTTCAGTTTGACACCCCATGGACATCCAAACCTGGCTAGAGCGAATTCCCGCGCCTTGCACTCTCACTCTCACTCTCGCTGCCAGCGACAACAGCAACGCATCACCGCCGATGTTGCCAACACTGTCACTCCCTCCCGTATCATGCTCGCGGTCGCGGTCGTTCTCCCCATCGAAGGCATTACCGTCGTCACAACCGTCAGTACTCAAGCGACATCACCAACTTCTTTTATCACGATGGGTGTCAAAGTCGAGCGATTGAGACTGCGGCGGGTAACACCGACCGCGAGCAGCGCAACGAGCCCGCAAGCCTCGTTCCTGCATACATGGACGACGATACCCCTCGACAACATCCCAAAAATTCCACGCAAACTGCAGCACCGGCACCCAACCTGTCTGCCTCATCGGCTCCGCTCTCAAGGATCAAGATACTGGCACATGCGACGACTTGAGGACTGCTTTGTTGCTGAAAGACGACGACTTTTCGACCCCTGCGTCGTTCGCCGACGACTCTGGAAAGCACAGCACCGCCGCAATACGTGCTCGACTTGCTGCAAAAAGCTTACGACTGCTACACCCGCGGTGACTCCGAGATTACCTGGAACTTTGAGGTTCACCATAAGCTCCTCCGAATCGCTCTCCGCCGCGGCCCACAGCCTCATCTGTTAGACTTGAGACTAACAATCCCGCTCAACAAAGAGTACGTACCCTCAGGTAGGTAGACCAACAACAATCCAAATCAACAAGGAGTACGTACCCTAAGGTAGGAAGACTAACAGATTAACACCACTCAATGTTGCTTGGCGTTGGTCCTCCTGGCCTTGGAGGCGAGCGTCCACCAGCATCCCGCCGCACATCACTCTAGACAATGTCCAATTACCCAAGTCTGTCTTCAAACAAGCGACAACAAGTTGCTGCAGGCGAGCGGGAGCATAGATGTTCTTGAAGTTATCACCAGCTGAGATAAAACCAAGACTATCCTGGCGACTTACATCTGCACCCACTCCGGCTTGAGCTGAACTGGCGACAAGGCAGTCCTTTGGTGCGAGTCCGCAGCATCAGGAGCTGTTCATAGTAGGCCTCTGAGGGATAAACGTCCTTTTGAGCAAGAAGGGCCCAGGGCGCGACAAGCATCATGATCTACAGCTAGCTCAATGTCTTTGATTGCAGCACTGAGAAGTAGTAGCAGCCAATACATGTGAAGGAGATGTATGACAGCGCTTCATGAGTACCCCAAGCAGGATTGGCAGGATTTTATTCTCACAGACTGTGAAAACAGGTTACCACCAACAACAAGTCACAATCTGGCGAAAGGATCTCACGCCGCAGACGAACATACACCTCCCGACCCCAGCAGACGTCATAAGTAGGATTACGGATTCTTGCTGATCAATGTGATCGTTGGAGGGGCAATGGAGGCAGAGAAGAGACAGTTCCGGAAATTCTCCGGTACATGGCAATCTTCAGCTGACACTCCCGCTCGTGGACTCTGTAGGATGGCTGGAATGGCAGTGAGGGCCTGAGCCTGATATTCTCATTGCTGGAGATGGCATATATGCCATTAAGTCCTCACGCTGTTATCAGGGCAAGGGCAGGACGCTCCTCAGAAGATAGCGCCGTAAACAGTTTGAGTAGATACAAAGACCCGGATGGCATTCGGTGACTGACGGCGCGGTGGGCGGCGGGTGTGACGGAACTTTAAACACTATACCAGTCTGCAGCCAGTGTGATTAGCGAAGCGTCGGGTGGCTCGAGAATTGCGTTGGCATATTCGGCGATCATAAAGGGTCATCCAGATCCTTCTCGTCCAGATTCCTTACTCCCTCGGTATACTTAACGGGGTCGACCTGGGCTTCCCTCGCGATGTTGGATGACTCTGCCGGCTGTCGTGGGAGGGACAAGCTGGGGTTAGTGAAGTCCGAGGATCAATGAAGAGAAGACATCAACCGGCATTGTCGACAGAAGTAAAGTATTCGGTGAAAGCGACCAAAAGCGCCGGAAGCCGTATGGCAGCACTAAGATACCGCTCCTCTGAGATTGAACACATCGTTTCTTGTCGCTGCGAAGCGTTGCTTCAGCAGCAATTCCAGGGGGTTCGAGAGGGTGAGTGGCCTAAAGACATTGCTGTTGCCAGCGGACAGGCGGGCTGGATGAGAGTTCGCTGTGATTAACTAGGTCAAAAAAGTAAATTAAAAAATTTAAGGTCGAAAAACGGAAGTCGTAAACCGAAGGCCGTAAAACGAAGGTCGTAAAACGAAGGTCGTAAAACGAAGGCCGAAAAACGAAAGTCGTAAAAGGAAGGTCGAAAAACGAAAGTCGTAAACCGAAGGCCGAAAAACGAAGGCTACAAAACGAAGGCCGAAAAACGAAGGCCGCAAAACGAAGGTCGAAAACGCCTAACACGTCAATCCTGCACTAGCTTGCTGGCGAGTTTTGATTTGGGATTTATCTCTCTCTGAATCGTCGAGCACACCGCCCAGTAAAATTCCGGGGGGCATGGCTCGGGTTCTAAGACTGCAGCCAGCCCTCTCTTCCCAGCTTCGTGGAAAGTCGTAGAACTGCACTTACCCAGTTGTTCAACAATAGACTGGGCGTTGGGATCGGATCCGTGATCGTCAAATCGCGCGTGCGGGCAAGGGTTCGCCTGAATGAACTGGCCGGTCAGATCATCTTTACGAGAACACTTAATTTTCCTGTATCTGCGCGGCTATACTTCCTGTGGACTTTGTTAGTCCTGTAGAAGACGATAATAGCGACGATAGCGATAACGACGACGATTGAAGCGACGAAGACAGAAGCGATCCCAGGCAGCACGTCAGGCCCGTGATGTATCTCAGAGCAAAGCTGCAAGCGATACGATCGCCTTCCAAGGGGTCTTGCAAGGGATCGAACGAACTTCTCAGGATAAATAAGAGACAGCTCTCTTCAGTTGTATCGTGAAAGGAAGTTCGCGCCAGGAATTCTTGTGGGTGTCCCAAGCCGACCGCCTCTATCAGCCAATGCCTTTCGACGAAGAACGCAAGCCTTGCAGGGCTTCAGGCCGTCTGAGTGGCAACGGTCAGTGATGATACCGAAATAGAAGCTGTGAGCAGGCCTGATTAACATATAGACACTGATGGACCTGGGGACGCCTTCAATATGGCTCAAGGCCTGTGTGAGAACGCTACTCAGCTGCCGTCCTAAAGAGACTAAGGCAAGGTCTCAGCAGATTTGGCATGACACGTTCACTGCCCTGGCAGGAAGTAGAGGACCAATGGGGTCATGACCGGTTCATCACCGTGCTGTCGGCTGTCCCAGAACACACACGAATGAGCAGCATCACCATGCGCGCCAAGTCTACCTACCATGGAGGCGCACCGCATTGAGATTGTCGCCGCCGCAATGGAAACCCCCGATGCGAAGGCAGACATCTCCTGGGCCAACAGCGTCCGCAGCAGTAGCGCTGGTCATGTTGGTGATTCGAAAATCGGCCATCACGGAACTCCACAGACATTTAGAAACACCGAGAGAAAGGCGCAACTGAACCTACGCATGGCCGACGACTTCAAGCTGGCATCTTTTACACCAACACGCAGCGCGGCTCACATTGTGGAGGCGGGGAACAAGTTTCAGAGCGGGCGGCCCGGCAACGCCTCCGAGTGGGAAATGATGAACGCCTCAGACGCCTCACAACGAAATCGCTGGCGATAAAACCTTGACAAACCGTCTACCAGGCGTCATCCAGTTTCGTAGCGAATAGATGTTTACCATCATGAGGTGAGATTTGCACCAGAATGTCTGGTCATTGGATGGTGATTTGACTATGTCTTCTTGATGCATCCTCATCAGTGCTATAGCGACTTCCGGAGACCGAGTTTCACACTACATGACGCGGATATTAGCCCTCAAGAGCGCAAGGTCATCCGTCAAAGGTAGTTCGGCCTCCTCCCGAAAGCACATACAGAGGATTCCAATGATCGTCGGCATTGGTATGACGGAGACTGCTGAACCTTGAAGTCCACCAAGGCCCATCTCACTGTTTCCAAAGCCGAAATATTCTTTTGCCGTCAGCTCTATCTCCAAGTGATCCATCAATATAGTGTCTGGAATGATCACCTGGTCACCAACAACTAGTAAGGACACAGAGCTACCAATCTCTGCAATGTAACCGACGGCCTCGTAGCCTATTGTCGACAGTATTGCGCCGCCCACGTGACCGCGATCGACGTGCAGGCTAGATCCGTGCACGGCCAAGGTCGTCACCCGCACAATAATGTTGGTCTTCTTGATGATACTTAGCCTGGCCTATCTTTTCCTCCAACCTTTACCGGGATGAAAAGGGCCCATATTCAAAGAGTCGAATTCTGACCTGCACAGATGGGGGAAAGGGGAGGCATACTCATTGTAGGTATCGCAACCAGCAGTATCGTGATTAGCCTCAGGACCAGCGCCAGAAAGAAACCTTTCTCCAGGCCGGCATCTCCATGACTGCCATGTTATCTGTCAAACTAACCCGCACCCTTTGTGTATCAATCTATCAACATAAAAACATAACATCTGCACAAGAAGCAGCACGACTGACTAGATGACATAGCCCGTGCATCAACAGCCGCTTCATGCTGTTTTTCTAGGCTCAGTAGAGCACTGTGCCATACAAACCCGCCTCCGACTCTCCTTCGCCCTAGTCCTGTCGATGGCCGGAGCCACGGACCCCAAGATCATTGTCTAACCGAGCAGCAAGCCCAGGCCACGCTGCAACACATGATCTGCGTCCAGGCGGAAATGGCTGATGACGTCCACGCCGGCTTGCCCGAGATCGTCTAGTTTTTTTCACTGCAGTCCACATTTGGTATAGGCGAACCCGAGAGATACGCTGCAAAGCAAATAGGTCCTGACGCAGGAATTTTCGGATTCACTGGCGCCCCTGGCTAGTGGCAGAAACATCGCCCTCCAGTGGTTTTTGATGTTGTTGAGCGTAATTTTGGGGATTTTGTCGGCATAAAGCTGACGGGGATGGTTGGCGTCCCACCGCTGTCACTGGCCAAGCTGGCCGCTTGCCTCGGCAACTTAGGCTTGTAGAATGAACTGTGCCTGCAACTTTGATATGCCGGCCGTATTCAAAGTCGGCAGCCTATTCATGATTCTTTCATGTATTTCCCCAAAGTCGTCTAAATTCCAGGTTTCAGCAAACGGAGTAAGATTGGGAACAATCTCTGGCCCGACTTGGTTGTGTCTCTGCGTCACTTAATCCCAGTGCCATCGGGAATGCTCGATGACCGGGCTGATCTAGTGCTCGGCGGTTTTCGGTTCTTTGATGTATTGATGAACTGCTGCTGCCGGCCTGCTGTCTCACCGACGGATGATTTCGGTTTTGGATCTGGCTGCTAGCATGTTCAGGTACTTATTTTGCGTCTGCATCGTCATCAGTGGCAGACAAGTAATCCAGACATTTGGTCAACACTCGAAGCCTATGAATGCATGTGACTCAACAGCCTGGCCTAGGCGACCCTTTGCACTCTATTGAGTATTTCGTGGTTTATAACATAGACAACAAAATTGAAGCCGCGAGACTTCTACAGGTTATAACAAACTCAGCAGGCTAGCAAGTAGGCGCTGTCTGGCGAGGTATCTTGACGTATTTATACGAAATCTAACGAGAATCAAAATTGACAGCTGACTAGGACAGCAGTCGGCAATATTGCATGGCGAGACTCTCTGGCGCCTTGATCCAGCGTCGACAGGTCTGAAGTCATCTCTGAAGTGTACAACATGCTTCAGTTCTGGCGGCTAGATCCTGCGACGTTGGAAGCCAGGCAGAGCCAATACTAGCTCGACTTTTCGAATGATTGCAGGCACTATATATATAGCACGTCACCTTCACGGAGTATTTATCAAGCACCATGCCCGTATCACACGCATTCTGGAGATTGATGAGAGACAAATCTGATCAGGCACCCCTCTTCTCATCACCCAACAACCAAATAAGTAGTTATCTTACTTCAGTCGTTCACCATTAACAATACGCAAGCGGCGCAACGGATTCGACTTCATCGTGTGGCATGGCAATGTTCATCCGGCACTCTTCACATGGGCTCCGTTATTATGCGCCGCGGCACTCACAGTTCGCTGGTACATACGATTGAGACATATGCCCGGCCCTCTGCTTGCTGTTTCTTCTCTATTGTGGCCTCCATGACCGGTATGCAGCGGTAACATACGCCTCAAGATCCAAGAGGCAATTCAGAAATATAGTAAGCGTGACGACCCGTCCAAGCGTTCACAAAGTTCGCTAGCCGCTCGCCCAGGATCTCTCGTTCATTTTAGTGCGAGAGACGTTATCATGAGAGACCCGGACTTCATGAAACACATACTCGGCATGAGGTCGAAGTACAAGCGATCAGACTGATGCGACGCGATATAGATGGACCCCTGGCACGATCATTTGATGTCTAGTAGAGACAACGCAACACACACCAAGCTTCAATTTAAGATGGCTGGAAGGGTGAGTTGCATCTTCATCCGCCTTTCCGTGCAGCCAGATAACGCGTTTTCACGAACTAATAACAATCAAGATCGAGTATATTTCGGCAAAGCAGTTGTCGATCTTAAAGTTAGGATAAATTAGAACATTCTTGGCGTCATGGGCTTAATTAACACATATGTTTTCAAAGACAAACCGCTTGATTCCAGATTGAAGTCGCAGTATTTCACTCTGGACGTTATATGTGACGTCGCATTTGGAAGACTGTTTTGCAATCCAGCGTCTCACTTAGCTATTCCCAAGTACATTCACGCGATGGAGCACAAAAGTCTGAGTATTGTCGTTGCGGCTGCTCTTCCCTCTTTAATTGCTGTGCTGTTATAGTCAGGCTTCTGGCGGCTGTTGTCTTTAGAAAGCAATGACACCAGCCTTAACAAGTTGATCCGGTATGTCTTGCTCAATCCAGGCCTGTCCAAGCGCTGGTCTCAGACTGTTGTTGCACATATGGTTTGTATTGATTTTCACGGGAGCGCCTCGCTCTCAGATTTTGGCAGAATGGCGAAAGAGATCGCCAGCCAACGATTCAGATCTAGAAGGACGTTAAAGCAGGATATGCTCGGTACTTTCATGGCGCAAGGCCTTACACAGGAAGAGGCATCATCAGACATTCTCATGCATATATGCGGCTCGTTAAGCTTTCTCTGGTATCACACGTCAAAGCCTCTGCCAACTTCCCCTCACAGACTTGCTGGATCGGACACGACGGCTACTGCGATCCGAGCTATGCTGCTTTATTTAATCACTAATCCCTACGTCCCCTTGACACTTCCTGCAGACATTGAACGTGCTAGGCTGTTTTGGCCTGTCATGAAGGAATTGGAGGCATGGGAAATGGCTTATCTACAGGCGGATATCAAGGAAAGATTGTGTGTTTTCCCACCGGTCGTTGGATAGAAAGAAGCCCCCAGAGGCGGCAACACCTTCAAAACGTGCACCTGCCAGAAGGAACTTGTATCGGTTACGGGGCGCGCGGTATTTCGAGCTGAGCCGAAGTTTGAGGGCAGCATACAGACGAGTTCCTACCAAACCAGTAGTTCAAGGTGTATTTAGAGATATTGAAACTGATAGAAGGGAGGCTTGAAATTATGTTGGGGCACGGCAAGCGGAAATGTTGGCGATGATGAGCTGCATAAGGTATTCGTCGAGGTGGGTGGCTCTAGTGAATCTGGCGCATGGCTCTTGCGAAGGGAATCAACTAACGCTGGAAGCAGCTGATGTGGAGCTACGACTTCGTTTTTTACAACTTGGTTTCTTCCTGCAGTATGAATTCTAGATCAAGGTGACCACTAGAAGAGAGTTAGCATAATGCTAACGTGGTTGCAAGAATGTTACTGCGCTGCCTGTCGTCGGCCCGTGGAGATAGACTGCAGCGGTGGTTAGTGTTCTGGTCACACTGCCACTACATTTGAAAGATGCTTGTGAAGACACTGAGTCCATGACGTTTAGATTAGGAGGACGCGTGAAGAAGCCTCTGCGAGCCGGGCGCGCCCAGTCACATCAGCTGGGATTATGAATTAATTAGAAACAAGATTGAATTGTCTAGTTAAGATATTTGGTCTTGCCAAACTTCTCCATCTCCTTGATTGTAAAATGACAGCCATGTCAACCAGGGTCTAAAGAATGGCACCCCAAAGCGCTACGACGCTACACTTTCTCTGTAGATTCCGCAGCCTGTGGCAACGAAATGACACAGAAGGCCGAAGAGATTTGGACCCATATCATCTTCACTGCTGGAATCTGATCTTCTGCGCTAAGTTCGGGAACCTGAGTCGGTTTGTCTTACATCCACTACAATTCCGATGCGGCCTTTCGTTCAGTCCGATGAGACTGAGTGGTTGAGGTTTCAAAATAAATATTTTCGGGCCTTTGGTCAGTATTGCTTTCCGTTACCTGGAGGGATGTCCCACTTGGAGGTCCATAGATGTCTTTAGGCAGTGCGACAGCGTCAACCCTACATGATTTGCCCGTGAGAGTCATACGGCAGTCAACAAGGTGCGCCTCCAGGTGGAAAACTGCGAAGGAAACGTTAGAAGGGAAGAAAGGGGGTCCACGAGATGAAATTATGGATACAAATTACTATCGAGTTTCACATTGCATATCTCACTGTATATCAGGTAGTCTCAAAAGGAAAAGTAACTGCTGTTCAGTTTCATGTACAGATAACCAAAAGGGCAAAAAACATGCAACACCGGGCATTCACCGGTCATCACTCACCTGACTACTACTCCAGTCCTCAGTAGCCTGTTTACCTGACACAGAACGGACGGGATCCTGAGTTCTCCAGTAGGTGCATTCGTATGTGCTACGGTAGCTCTATTTACTGTTAGAATGAGCCGTGTTGTTTGTGCGTGACCAACATGAAACGTCTTTGCCACAAGGTCGATCCACGATCACCAGGGACGACAAGCTACGCTGAACAAGATTTTCAGACTCCCTGCTAGAACAAAGATTTGGGCGTTGCTCATAAAGGCAGCTGAGAAGATCTGGCAATTGTAGTCGCAAAACATACATCATAGGATAGGCATTCGGGCAGGCCTTGAAGGTCTGGAAGAGGACAATCTCAGGACATGAAGCCACCTGGTGACGTTTTTTATAACAGCGACCACCCACCTCTGGTAATCCTGATAACTGAGGTGTTTGCAAATGTCAAGGATGGGAGCGCCACTTCGCGTACTAAAATGCCAAGACATCTGAACTGTCTTGAGCCACGGACTTTCTTTGTTGGCCTTCTGCTATGATCTAAGATTCCCCGCTTTCTCAAGCCCTGCCCCTTCTTATAACTGAGTTCATTCCGTCGTATGCTGGGAGTAGCATCCTGTAAGCAAGATACCTTGCATACCAGCAGCATACAGCCCTACTTGTTCAGGTACGCCGTAGCGCCTCATCCTCTGCTACATTGAGCTTGGGTTCTCGCAAGGAGAGCACCTGGGTCCGTTCGGATGGCACAGTCGTCTGAACCGCTCAGCACGTAACGTGGTATGGTCCATATGCTGAGACGCGTCCGCGGACGTCCCGTGTGAAGCTTTGTTTATTTTCCAATGGCACTGGGATTATTCATTCATTCTTTTTACGTCCTATCTGAACCAGCGTGGCTGGGACTTGTATATACATGAGTTGCGAGCATGACCGCTGGCGCGGACGCGTTGTGCCCAGAAAGGGACGTAGCAGGCGTTAAATGATA